GCTGCTCGGCCAGAGACGGCACGGCGTTGTTGGTCAGAGGAAGCTTCTTATTCTGTCCAACTTTTATGCCGTCCACAAAAGTCCCATTGTTGCTGAGGTCCTCCAAAAAGACTTTAGAGCCTTCCTGGGGGACAGGGCAGGTGGGGACAGACCAGATGAGGGACCACAGCAGCATCAGAACCGGATCAGAAGCAGCAGCTGTCCTCACCCTGTAGATCCTGAAGTGCTTCTTGCTGTAGATCCGGAACTTCTGGGACCTCTTGTTGTCTGGGTCTCCGAGGACGTAGTCGCAGCCCGAGTCCCGGCCAAACAGGTACTGGTCCTCTATGCAGTCTGGAACCAAACACAGAGAACCAGGGTCAGTTCTGGTTCTGGTTCTGGTCCAGCCTCCGCGGTGGTAGAGGGTCACCTTGGCTCCTGAAGCCTCGGACCATGGGCAGCAGCCGACCCCAGAGCTCTGGCTCCGCTTCTTCTGGGACGGAGGACAGGGTGACGGGGATGGTGTCCACGCTGCTCACCGTCCCTGAGCCGCTGGACGACTGGCTGGCTGAGGTCGGCCCGCTGGACGAACTAGAACCCTGTGGGGACTTGATCTGGGACGGGGACAGGGTGGACTGGCTCTGGGTCTCTGACTGGGACGAGCGTCCGTCAGGTGGGACGTCCTCAGACATGTTGGTACCTGAGGAGGAATTTAAGACCGTTAGCGAGAAACAGGGACCCTGTTATGGACAGGAGACACTAATGGACAGGAGACCAAAGACCCCATTACAACCATCGATTCCCCAGGAGCCCGACCAGAACCAGAACCAGGAACAGGTTCCTGAATGCCGGGTCGTTACCTGCAGCAGCTGAAGATCCGTCTTTAGCCTGGAGACGCTGCTCAAACAGACGATAACCAGGCTGCACCATCAACATCTATTCTATTCAGTTCTATGCTCCACTTCACAGCCAGTCCCTCTCAGGTCTCCTCATAGATCCAGATCAATCAGATCATCTAGTCAGAGACTTTACAGGATGAGCAGGTAGAGACAGTAGATATTAACTCTTCAGCAATCCCTCACACTAAAGGCCTGGTTATCCTCCTGCAGCAGCGTGTCACAGATATTTTTGATTTCTGCCCAACATTGAAGCGTGGTCTGCGCTATGTTATTCCACGCCTCAACGCCAGAGGGCCGATCAGGAACTA